TTTAAAAGCTATCAACACTTTGAATTGACTTCTACAAATATGCAAAGTCATCCTTCAAGCACAGGAATATCTGTTTTATGCCTAAGTATTGTGAGAAATATATACGAAAAATATTATTGAATTGTGTATCTAAATAGTTACATTGAGACCCTATTTATAGACACTACATTGGAATCCTTTTCCAACTAGGATTCCTATTCTTATTCCTATTCCTATTCCTATTCTTATTTCTATTCTAAGTAGGAAATACTTATTTCTATTCTAACACTCCCCCTCAAGCTGGTGCATACAAATCATATGTACCTAGCTTGTTACAGATGTAATTAATACGAGGACATGTGAGGGACTTGGTGAAGATATCTGCAAGCTGATCATTTGACTTCACAAATTTCGTAACAATATCTCCCGAGAGTATCTTTTCTCTGACAAAGTGACAGTCAATCTCAATGTGCTTAGTCCTTTCATGAAACACTGGATTTGATGCGATATGAAGAGCCGCTTGATTATCACACACAAGTTCCATCTTATCAACTTTGCCAAATTTTAGTTCTCCCAGCAACTGTTTGATCCAAACTAGCTCACAAGTTGCTGTCGCCATTGCTCGATATTCTGATTCTGCACTAGATCGAGCAACCACATTCTGTTTCTTGCTCTTCCACGACACCAAATTACCTCCTACTAAAACACAATATCCGGATGTCGAACGTCTGTCAGAGGGTGATCCTGCCCAATCAACGTCTGTATATCCAATGATATGCTCATGGCCTTGATCCTCAAAGAGTAGTCCTTTACCGGGAGCTGACTTTATATATCGCAGAATACGAACAACTGCTTCCCAATGACTATCACAAGGGGAAGTCATAAACTGACTTACAACACTCACAGGAAAAGAGATGTCAGGTCTAGTCACTGTGAGATAATTCAACTTTCCAACAAGTCGTCTATACCTTTCAGGATTACTAAGTGGCTCCCCCTGTCCTGGAAGAAGTTTAACATTCGGATCCATAGGAGTGTCAACAGGTCTACATCCCATCATCCCTGTCTCCTCAAGAATGTCTAAGGCATACTTGCGCTGAGAAATAACAATACCTGATCTAGACTGAGCAACCTCAATACCTAGAAAATACTTCAATCTGCCAAGGTCTTTAGTTTGGAAGTGCTTAAAGAGATGTTGCTTCAAATCGGTGATACCATCTTGATCATTACCGGTGATAACAATATCATCAACGTAAACAACCAAATAGATACATCGACTTGGTGCAGAATGCCGATAAAACACAGAGTGATCAGCTCCACTACGAGTCATGCCAAACTCCTGAATTACTGTGCTGAACTTCCCGAACCAAGCTCGAGGAGACTGTTTTAGACCATAGAGTGACCTGCGCAATCGACATACAAGGCTACTAGACTCCCCCTGAGCAACAAAACCAGGTGGTTGCTCCATATAGACTTCTTCCTCAAGATCACCATGCAGAAAAGCATTCTTAATGTCCAACTGATGAAGAGGCCAATGACGAACGGCAGCCATAGATAGAAAAAGACGAACAGATGCAATTTTAGCCACAGGAGCGAAAGTGTCACTATAATCTAGCCCAAATATCTGAGTATACCCTTTGGCAACAAGGCGAGCCTTAAGTCGATCAACCTGACCGTCTGGACCAATTTTGACTGCATAAACCCAACGACAACCAACAGTAGATTTACCTGCAGGAAGGGAGACAAGCTCCCAAGTACCACTCTTATGTAAAGCAGACATCTCATCAACCATAGCCTGCCTCCATCCAGAATGAGAAAGTGCTTCACCTGTAGTCTTAGGAATGGAAATAGAGGACAAAGACGACACAAATGCATAATGGGGTGATGATAGACGATGATAACTTAAGAAGGTATAATGTGGGTTAGTATTTCGAGTGGATCGTATACCTTTTTGAAGTGCAAGCGGTTGGCTAGGAGGAGGCAAGTCCGCAGTAGGAGCAGGGTCTGGCGCATGACATGAATCATCTGGGACTAGGGTTGGACGTGGACGGCGATGATAAGTTAGTAGTGGTGGCACTACAACTGGAGATGTAGAAGTAACCGTAGATTCCACAAAGGTTGGCACAGGTAAAACCTGAGGTATGGGTAAGACCATAGAGACATCAGGATGATCAGAAGATGTATAGTAAGGCTGAGACTCAAAAAATGTAACATCAGCAGACATAAGGTATCGATGAAGATCATGTGAATAACAACGATACCCTTTTTGGACTCGAGAGTAACCAAGAAAGACACATTTGAGGGCACGAGGAGCTAATTTATCTTTTCCTGGGGCTAAGTTCTGAACGAAGCATGTGCTCCCAAAGACACGAGGAGGGATAGGATAGAGATGTGACTGAGGAAACAGTATGGAATGGGGAACCTGATTCTGAATAGAAGAAGAGGGCATTCTATTTATCAAATAACAAGACGTAAGAACTGCATCTCCCCAAAAACGCAATGGAACATTGGATTCAAGGAGAAGAGTACAAGCGGTCTCAATAAGATGCCGATTTTTTCTTTCAGCTACACCATTTTGTTGAGGGGTGTATGGACAAGTAGTCTGGTGAATAATGCCTTGGTGAGTCATAAACTCCCGAAATTGGGAGGATAAGTATTCTAAGGCATTATCACTACGAAAAGTACGAATAGAAACACCAAACTGATTTTGTATTTCAGCAAAGAAACTTTTGAAAATAGAAAATAACTCAGAACGATCTTTCATTAAGAAAACCCAAGTACATTTTGAATAATCATCAATGAAACTAACAAAATAACGAAATCCTAAGGTGGAACTGACTCTACTAGGACCCCAAATATCAGAATGAACTAATGAAAAAATAGACTCTGAACGACCCTCAGTACTACGAGAAAACGTAGCACGAGTGTGTTTCCCAAGTTGACACGACTCACAATCTAATGTGGATAAACTAGACAAACTAGGCACCATCTTTTGCAGTTTGGATAGACTCGGATGTCCCAAACGTTTGTGAATTAAATCTGGGGAATCTGTAATGGAGCATGCTGCTAAGGAATTTGAAGAGGTAAGATAGTAAAGGCCTTGTGATTCATGTCCTGTTCCAATCATCTGTCCCGTACTGCGGTCCTGCATGAGAAAAAAATCATCGAAAAAAGTTATGCTACAATGTAGGGCTTTCGTCAAACGACTAACAGATGCTAGATTAAAAGGAGAACCAGGGACATAAAGAACAGAGTCTAGGGTGACAGAAGATAGGGGTTTGGCTTTTCCAACCCCTTTTGGTTTGGTTTGGATCCCATTGGCTAAAGTAATAGCTGGAAGAGATTGTGAATAAACAATATCGGATAAAAGTGATTTATTACCAGAGATATGATCAGAAGCCCCAGAGTCCATGACCCATGTTCCAAGAGTACTAGATTGCGACACACAAGCAAAAGAATTACCCGCAACAGAGACATCAGGTTGTGCAACCGAAACTACTTGTGGAGACGTTTGCTTATTTGCGCGATTTCGAAGGAACTCATTATATTCCTTTAGAACAATAGGATCATAACTGGGTGGTGGACCATGCAAAATATAACATATATCACGAGTGTGTCCAGGCTTATGACAATGACTACACTTGGATCGAGGTTCTCGCCGATTCTCCATAGATTGATATGTACGCTTTTCAAAGGTTTGAGATGCAAGAATAGATGAGTCAACAGTGGGTGATGAAACTACCTTGTGACTGGGAGGTGCCGCAAGACGAAGGAGACGAGAGAATAATTCATCGATTGTAGGAACTGTAGGGCTAGCTAAAATCTGATCACGTACAGAATCATGATCAGGAGGAAGTCCAGCAAGAGTAAGAACTAGAAACAATGTTTGTCTGTGTTCTTGTTGTTTTTCCACATTCGTAGTAACTGGCATTAATGTGTCAAATTCCTCCATGACTGCCTGTACCTGTCCTAAGTAAGTAGACATATCGGATTCTTGTTTCTTTAAGTTGGTCAATCGAGATATCACATCATAGAATCGAGATATGTCATTAGTGTATAAAGCACGAGCCTTTTCCCAAACTGTATAACACGTCTGGAATGGGCGAAACAAGGGCATCAACTTGAAATCAATAGAACGCCATAGGAGACTACATAATTGAGCATCTACTTTCTCCCATTGTGCTTTGGCTTTTGCATCTTCCTCACTAGTCTTTGCCTTTACATCTACCTCATAAGCCTTGTTCGTTAAGTGATCTTGGACACCTTGACCCTTGCACCACAACTCAACCGAGGAAGCCCAAGATAAATAGTTTGAACTTCCCAATAAAAGTTCTGAAGTGATTATAGGGCTAGAACTTCCAATCCCCATATTTTTGGAACCAAAAACATCACACCCAAAAGACATTATGCTAAATTTGTCTCGGAAAATTCAAATCTCGAAGAAAAGTCGCCGGAAACTGCCTGGAAATAGCTGGAACTCTAATTCCGGCGATCGGATCTGGTCAAAAACAGTATGGGCCTGGTCGGATTGGCTGGACGACCCCAACTGTCAAAAAAATCTCAAAAAAATATGATCAGAAAAGCCCTCACGCGCCGGCGCGTGAGACAGATCTCGCCGGAAACTGCCACCTCCGATAGGCGCGTGAGAGCGCGTGGGGTGGTGTTTTCCGGTGGTTTTGGCTGGGGTTTGGTCGCGGGGGCTTTCCGAGCCTCGTGGTGGTGTTGGTTTTCGCACAACACCCACAGAAAGAAAAAAGTATAACAAAATCAGACCCAACAGTCACCGGAAATTGACATAGACATACGGTGACTTGTTTGTTCTCACCAATGCTCTGATACCATGTGAGAAATATATACGAAAAATATTATTGAATTGTGTATCTAAATAGTTACATTGAGACCCTATTTATAGACACTACATTGGAATCCTTTTCCAACTAGGATTCCTATTCTTATTCCTATTCCTATTCCTATTCTTATTTCTATTCTAAGTAGGAAATACTTATTTCTATTCTAACAAGTATCATTGGCAATCACTTGTGAACATACTTTTTAATTGAAGCTGAAAAAGGCTGCCACAGTTGTCACATCTGCTCGCATAATATATTCCACCAAATGGAAGTTAAAAAGTTGAAATATGTGTGTTGCATGCATGTATGTATGTATGAGATAAATAATTTAACTACTAGAAAGAGACTTTTCTGAAATTAACTTTAATGAAGAGTTACATGTCCTTTTAAAGGTTTGATTAACCAAGAAACATATTTAGCATCTTCTAAAAAAATGATTCTTGAATCCCAATCACCATTACAACTTCCTATTTTGGATATCTCCCAACCATCAAATTCATCTACTCTATCTTCTCTTGCTGCTGCCAGCAAAGAATGGGGCTTCTTTCATGTTATCAATCATGGAATCTCCAATGATCTTTACAGAAAAATTAATTGCCTCTCCAAACACCTCTTCAACCTCCCTTCTGAGACCAAACTAAAAGCAGGTCCTTACTCGTCTTTGAAAACTTATACTCCTCATTTCATTGCATCTCCATTCTTTGAAAGCCTTAAAGTGTCTGGACCAGACTTCTCTGACTCTGCTAAGGGTTCTGCGGATACCCTTGCTGGTGAAGGGAATTCAGAATTCAGGTAATTCTATTTTAGAACATTTAGATTCTCCTTTCTCTAAAGTCTCTAAGGTTGATTTAATTCTCTGATAAATGGTGTTCCTTCTTAGTGAAATACTGCAAGAATATGGAGGCAAAATGACAGAGTTAGCGAAAGTCATCCAGAAAACTGTCTTGATGAGCTTGGGAGAAGAACTTGGAATGAAGTATTATGTCTCAGAATTTGGTAATTGCCATGGATACTTGAGGATAAATAACTACTCGCCCCCGGATAGTTTTGAACAGGAAGTTGAAGGCCTTGGTATGCACACTGATATGAGCTGCATAACAATTGTCTATCAAGATGAATTAGGTGGCCTCCAAGTAAAATCAAAGGATGGGAAGTGGGTGGATATTTTGCCATGTGAAGGAACTCTTGTGGTAAATATTGGTGACATGCTGCAAGCTTGGAGCAATGACAAACTAAGATCCTCTGAGCACCGTGTTATTCTGAAGAAGCCGGTGAACCGCTTTTCTTTAGTTTTCTTTTGGTGCTTTGAGGATGAGAAGGTGATCTTGGCACCTGATGAAGTAGTTGGTGAAGAAAATTCAAGAATCTACAAGTCATTTGTTTGCTCTGACTATTTAAACTTTAGATTGACCAATGAGAATGGTAAATTCGAGAAAGTTGGTTTTACAGTTAAGGATTTTGTTGGGATTGGATCCAAGTTAAAGTAGAAGCATGGTTATCATTCTTTGAGTAGTTAGTTTATAAGCTTGTACATCTCCTCATGTTCCATCATTGCAACATAGGTATATAGGAGTTCTGTTTGTGTGAAAGTTTTTTTATATAATATTATGTTTTGTTATTTGATGATATTGTTTGCAAATTACTTGTAAGTGCATTCAGTGAATGATAAGAAGATGTATACAGAAAGGTTTTGACTTGACATGGATAATAACTGAATGCATGTCTAGTTGGAAGTCCAACTTCCAACTCATATTTCCATTAAAATTCTATGTTTGCCACTTGGCATGTTTGGTTTTATTAATTATCTACATATACAAAGGGCATATTCTAGAAGCAGAGTAAATGATCAGTTAATTTCCTTATTTTTTCTGAAATCTAAATAACTGTCCCTGAAGAAAGATGGTCAAGCCATACTCTCATGCCTATCCAGGATTTAAACTTGAAAGGTTCTTAGCATGGGACTCATTGTACTTTCGAAATAATGGCTTCAGAACTTATTATTTGTTGAGATTTTAGTGGTTTTTTCTCTCTCTCTCTCTCTATATATATAAAATATATACATATATATGTTTTTATTCTGTTTAGGGAAATACTGGATTTCAGTTGGACTCTTTAAATATAGGCTCTACCTACCTCTAGCCGCCCGAAAGAGCTCAAGAAGATCCAGAAAAGTAAGCAAATCCTACCTAAAGCTTTTCTTTTTGCTGATAGGATATAAAGAATGAATCAATCATCTTTCAAAAGATTACAGGACCAAAAGTTGGTTATCATTCTACCATTTGGAACTTTGTCCTCTAGTGGTAAGTTTACACTGTATTAACATCTATCTGTTTTATAGCATGATGTTGATATGCACCAGAAAAAAAAGAACCTTTACTGCAACTTAGACACAACCTGTATAAGCATTCTGGAAAAAGTCATATCATATGCTTTAGTAGTGGATTAACTGTGTCGATTCGACGAATCATCAGGGGGATCTAGAAAGTAAAAGTAGATTTTATTTGTCTTAATACTATGGCAACAAGATGTAGTTGCATTACTATTATAATGAAGCCATAAAGTTGTGTACTGTTTTGTTATGGTCAGCACATTGTTAATTAAATACTCCAACTAGAATGATCAATTTGTCACCAGTCAACTGTCCAAAAAGTTGCTTTAATCAAGTTGTTTATTTTAATAGGATGATGATTGTTTCTCACATGGGTTTGCTTAGGTATCCTAATGAATTCAAATACAAAAATCAGCATTGATTTTTTCTTTCTTTGGCTGGACTTTTGTGGGCATTACCTTTTTTTATGTTTTTTGGGATACATGAGGAACTATTAGTGTTCCCAAAAGGTGTGTCTTAGACCAATTTAGCTACCCCTTAGATTTAGCAATCTGTCAGATGTCTTATCTCCAAACGACTAAGTTGTTTTTCTGATTTTGGAATTGCTACTATACTTTGATGCAGTTTAAATCTATGTATCTACATTGTTGATGACCTTTTTTTTGTTGCAAAAATCAATTCTTTTTAAATAATTAAGGGAGTCAAATGGCATGTGATGTGTAGTTTTGGTAATGCCAATCATAATGGAAATCTCAAATCTAGAGGAATCACACTATATTTTCAAGTAAGGAATTATTGGAAGCATGGGTAAAGTGATGCTGGAGAATGTCCATGTTAGAATCCAGTTGGAATAGATGAGCACATTTATGTTCTTACTTGTAACAACCACTTTGTTTTCTCAATATGTGTGGGTTTTAGTGCACTTCCATTTTGTGGTCGGGCCCTTCCGCGGACCTTGTGTATAGTAGAAGCTTTAGTGCATCGGGTTTCCCTTTTAATATGTGTGGGTTTTTTTTTACTCGACCTCCACCTTAAGGTGTGCTGTGTGCAAGAGTGAGTGCCTTCATTTTCGGAGGTAGATTCAGGTTTTGAGCTTTATGGGTTCAACTTTTAAGTTTATTAGCATTGAACTTATAAAAATTATAAAATTATGTGTCGGACTTATTATTATTGCAATTTCAATGAATTCTTACACATAAATACTCCACGTCAAAAATATTGAATTTAGGTGAACTTAGTTCTATTAGGCTGCATTTGCCCCGACTCTTAACATAGTAAATACTTGTCAACTTTGGCCAAGCACTTATGCTTTCTCCAAAAATCTTCACAAATAAAAATGAACATCTATTTTTAGTGTTCAATGATCTTTACCTCGAAATAAGCACCACATGGCTCATCGCTAAATGATGATGTTAACAAAACTTTCAGTCTACCACCCGATCATCAAAGTATTTTATGATGATCACTGAAGACCAGGATTAAGGACAAATAATTTGATTTGATATCTTCTAAAGATTGACTTATAATATATTTGATCAAGCTTATTGAATTTTCGATGTGTTTTACAACATCTGGTTGTGCATTAACTTGGACCCCCACCCTCTAAAACCTCTATTATCCCTTTCCTTTGGTCATCCTAATCCCACACAAGCTTAGACACATTGATTTTTCACCATAATTTGTTGGTTTCTCCCTTCGAGTTTCTTTAGATCATGCTAGGTATATGGACAATGGTGCTAGCACACACAATTAGACGTTAAAATAGTAGGATTTGTGTTGTTTACTTCCTAATTAGCAAATAAATGAATAATTTTAGACTCAAGTGTTGCTACTTGTTTGGATCGAAAAATAAGTGTCATGGTATGCTAACAAATTATTATTTTTCTTCCAAGAAAATATATATGAAAATGAAATATTATACATATAAGAAAATTAATACCGTACAAAATTATAGAAGTCCGGAGCATTTTTTCAGTCAACAAAATTATAGTACAATAATAATAACAAAATTTTAAGTCAAGGAAAAAATTAGGACAACCCCTTAATTGGCTTAGATTTTTCGACAAAACTGGACGATGGCAAGCACACGCAATACTAAAAGAAAAAGTTAATTTAGTATTCCCTCCGTTTTTATTTGTGTGTCATTAATCATTATTTTAGATTTCATATTCCTTAAAAAACTATGTGAGTTGATCATTGTACCCTCATTTGATATTTCTTTATAGTCAAGTTTTCAATAAATGAACATAAATTAATTTATTTTGATTAATTAATTGACCAATGAACATAAATTAATCATTTAGTTTTCATGTGTTAGTCAAATTCATATTTTCAAGGCTAATAACCCTCAAGGGTAAAATAGAAAGAATAGTGTGATCATTTATGCATTGATTTTCTAAAATGACAAATACTCCATCCGTCTACTTTTAATTGTCATGTTGCCCTTGCTGAAAGTCAATTTGACTAATTTTCAAAGTTAAATTAAATTACATTAATTCGATATTTTTAAACAAAAAATTTAGATATTCAAAAGCTATAAGCAAAGTACTATAAATTGTAATTTTTTGCACATCAATATGATGAAAAATACATCATAAAATGTTAGTCTAAGTTCTTATAGTTTGACTCTAAAAAATGAATTAATGACAATTAAAAGTGGACAAATGTAGTATTAAGGACTATCTATCTTTAATAAGGACGATATATAAATAGAAACAAAGAGAATACCCAAGATAATTATAATTCAATTAATTCAAATAACATCAGTTATAGTTTTAAATTTCTATGTACAAACTGATGAATTAATCGCTATCTTTCATAGTTGAAAGGAAGGTTTCAATTTAATTCTATTAACAAAATTCACTCTTATTTCCTATATCTTTCCAGATTTAAAAACATGGGTTATTTTTTTTCAACAAATGAACCTATTATCCTAATTTACTGTCATGAACTATTTGTAATTGTCTCTTACATAGAATTTTTACAAATTGATTTACACAGCTTTCAAAAATAGTCACGCAATTTAAATATGGTGGTGATTCACTACTCCATTTGTTTCAAATACTTGTCATGTTTTAATTCTTGATAGTTAATTTGATTAATTTTTTAAAATTAAATCAGATTAGATTAATATAATATTTAAAATTTAGATATTAAAAAATGACATGAAAAATACTATAAATTGTAACTTTTCTCATATCACCTTTTAGTGAAAAAATATATCTTAAAATGCTAGTCAAAACGCCTTTAAAATATTTTAGAATTATCAATTGTTGTGATTTGTAGTACCTTTTATATAGTTTTTATAAACATAACTTTTAATTCAAAAAACTTAAAGATCATATGTCCGAATCTATTCAAATTTAACTTTAAAAATTTAAAAGGTGCCACAAAAATTAGAATGAAAAGGAAATCTTGTTTTCCAACTATTGAAAGTTTGAAACATAAAGTTGTGTGTGAAAAAAAATGGAAAAATAAAAATAAACCATCACCTATGATTAGTATTGACTTGACACGCTCCTTAAGAAATAATAAATAAAATCACAATTTTATTATAGTACTTTTTAACATAATAGATTCAATGATTTGAAAAATATATTGAAAAATGACAATAGTTAATAATAATGATAAGATAGGAATTAAGTGATAAATTATATCTTAATTTTATAAACCATATAAGTATAAATAGACATCTATTTTTATCACAGTGACAAATAAAAGTAGAAAAGAAAAGTAAGAATACAATCATCTTTAAAGTTTCATTCACATTCATGGAATGATATTAAACAATAGAATGCAAATACAATTAAAAATAAAAAACAAAATAAAAAATAAAATAAAAAGAGAACCAAAAAACTCAAAGGACGACTTAAGGGTGAGACTAGAAAAGCCTTTACTTTAAGCGCTTAAAATTTTGAGGCCGCAAAGTTATTTAGTGCTAATTTTATAATCTAATTTTCTCTTAAACAAGATTGAAGATTCTAAAAAAGAAAAGAAAGAGTATACAATTGTATTAAAAATAAAAGAAAGAAAAAATACTTAGTTCTTAATAGGAATATTTTAGAGCTTTATACTAAACTATTTGAATCTTCGTATTAACAAATAAAGATTTTTATAATAACATCCAAAGCAATGTATATTGAGAAGACATGGCTAATATATCTTATTAACTTGAACTAATTGTTACAATTATTATAATGTAATTACTCTATGAAGTCAAAGAAAATAATACATTAAAATAATTACTATG